ATTCTCCAAAGCGCCTGAAGGCAGGACAAGAAGCAACGGATGGAAACTAATCAAGGAGAGAAGCAACCTAGAACTAAGGAGAAAATTCCTGACAGTGAGAACAATTAATCAGTGGAACAACCTGCCTCCAGAAGCGGTGAATGCTCCAACACTGGAAGTTTTTAAGAAGAGACTGGACAGTCATTTGTTCGAAATGGTATAGGGTTTCCTGCCTGAGCAGGGGGTTGGACTCGATGACCTCCAAGGTCTCTTCCAACTTTATGATGATGATGATGATGATGATGTAAGTCTTATGACTGCTGCAGCATCCCCATGGTCATGTGATCAAAATTCAGATGCTTGGCGACTGACTCATATTTATGATGGCTGCAATGTCCTGGGGATCACCTTCTGTGACTTTTTGACAAGCGAAGTCAATGGGTGAAGCTAGATTTGTTTAACCATCATGTTACTAACTTAACAACTGCCACTGAACAACAGGGGCAAGTAAGGTCATAAAATGGGGGGAAACCCATTTTATAACTGGGTTGCTTAGCAACGGAAATTTAGGGCTCAATTGTGCTTGTAAGTCAAGGGCCACCTATACAGCAAATGGAAACATGAATGCTAGGCAGTAATGCCAACAGCACAGGGCTGAAACTGATGCCTGACTGCTTTGTATCCTAGTTCAGGGGTAGGCAACTTTGGTTCTTTTATGACTTGTGGACTTCAACTCCCAGAATTCCTGAGCCAGCCATGCTGAGGAGAAATGGAGAGGTTTCCATGCTGAGCCGTGCTGGCTCAGGAATTCTGGGAGTTGGAAGTCCACAAGTCATAAAAGAGCCAAGGTTGCCTACCCCTGGACTAGACTGAGCAGAGTCTGTTGGTATGAAGAAACTATCTTGCTTTCATGTTGGTTATGAAAATATTCAGGCTTTCATTTGAACAAACATGACACCCCTGCTCTCAATGATTTGCAATAGATTGGCAAATTATTCTGTCACCCAAATATTTAACAGGAAAAAGTAGGTTTCAATGTACCCCAAATATGTAATGAACAGCTTGTCAAAACCTTTTGAGAGCTCCAGTCAGAATGGCTATGAATTCTATTCATTTCTGGTACTCAAAAAACAAATTTCTGGACATAGAATTCTTTTCATCTAAATGCATGCCTTTTCTGCCTTCAAAGTTTTAGTTGAAACACAAAGTAGACAGTGTGAAATGTGATTATCCCTGTATGAAGCTAGTAGAACTTAATTTATTTATTAAATTTTTATTTATTTATTTATTTATTTATTTATTTATTAATCTTAAGGCCTAAGCATTTTAACCCTTTAAAGCCTGCAGTGCTCAGCTGCATCAACTCATCAAGGTCTCCCAAATGCACTTTATTGGTGAGCTGTCACTAAAAGATTAAAAATATGGCCAGGACTGCATCTGAACAGCTCAACTGTTAAAGCTGATGCCGCTATGATTCACTGCTACCAGATGGAATAAATCTTACAAAATGTGATAGAAGATACTTTTGTGGGGTCCTCAATACTCTCTGAGCTTGGTTGTTTTCTTGCAGACATTTCATTACAAAACTAGGTAGCATGATGCAACGTACGGTGCACAATGCAATATACTTTTGGTGGCTGTATTTCTACCAAGATTGCACTGTTACTGTGAGTCAAGAATTATGTGTGCCACCAATATTTATGTCATTTGTTCTCTATTCCACTGTCCTGTTAGAAAGATCTGGTGGGAAAGGATATAACATTCTGCCTTGTGAAGTATGTTTATCATGGGCAGTTTCTAACAATATGGACCAGATTTAGTTAGTGTCAATAAAAGGAACACAAAATATGCTGCCCATTTTCTCTGTCAAGCATTTAGCAAAACAAGCCATTAATAAACCTTGACAAAGAAAAGGGCACATGAATGCAGTTCAGGATAGTACCACCTCTCTATAAACAGATGGGGAGTAAATGCTCAGTATTTGATCAAGCCTTGGGCTAGTAAAATAATAATAATAATAATAATAATGATGATGATGATGATGATGGAAGGGATATTGGAGGTCATCTAGTCCAACCCCCTGCTCAGGCAGGAAACGCTATACCATTTCAGACAAATGGCTGTCCAGTCTCTTCTTAAAAACTTCCAGTGTTGGAGCATTCACCACTTCTGGAGGCAGGTTGTTCCACTGGTTAATTGTTCTAACTGTCAGGAAGTTTCTCCTTAGTTCCAGGTTGCTTCTCTCCTTGATTAGTTTCCATCCGTTGCTTCTTGTCCTGCCCTCAGGCGCTTTGGGGAATAGCTTGACTGCCTCTTCTTTGGAGCAGCCCCTGAGATACTGGAACATTTGCTTATAGTGGACACATAGTGCCTTCAAATCTTGCCCTGAAATGCCATGTCATGGGTTGTTCAATTAGAATCCCCTGCCAGATGTAGAAAATCATCTTCTTTAATGTTTAGTTTTGTTGTGAGGCCCAGAGTCGCAGGCTTATGAGATGGAAGACTATATAAATTAGATTCATAAATAAATAAATAAATAAAAAGACTCAGAGCCTGAAAGACAAGTTGCTGGGAGGCCATTCAGCTGTTTATTAGCTCCAAGTTACAAATATGGTTAGTAATCTTTTTTTTTTTTTTTAAAAGGAGCAGAATCCTCTGATGTCCCAAAAGGAACCCACATCCAATTCTGGAATTCTTTTATGAAGGAATTACATATATAGACAAGAGTTGAGCTTATTATGCATCGGGCCAAGGATTAGGAAGGACATAGCCAATAATCTCTTTGCCAACTATCAATGGAATATGGGCCACCACACAATAACTTTAATGCATATTTTGGAGCCACTGATTTCAGATTCAGTCTTCCAGATCTGGAGAACCACCTAGACGTTCTACTGCTGATGGCTGCAGAACAAACGCTAAAACCAAAGCAGGTGTATTCCTTTGGAAAGTGCCCCTAAGAGGTGAAGGATGAAAGGTAAGATTTCAAGTTTTTTGCTATTAACCTTGATCAAAGGTAAGTGTGCATGCTCAAAGAGCTCATTCAACCATTTAAACCTGGAAATAAAAACAGCAACCAGTTTCTCCCTTTGCTAGTTGCATATGTTTTGATGTTATTGGCTGCGCTGGACTCTGGAAGGACTACTGTGGCTTGATTTTGTGGCCATATTTTTTGAATAACAGTTATCACTTAATTGCTATATAACTAGGCATTGAAAACTGACAAAAGGCAGCAAGTGTAGTATAATATTAAATAGTTGAGTTAAGATGGGATTCACAATACAATACTAGGGAAGAAGGATACAACCAAAATTCAGATTTTGGTAGCATTTCTGAAATTAATAATTTTACTTAAGGCATAAGCAGCTCCTAAAAATGGTTAGCCTGACAATGCGCTACCAGACTCTTTCCTAATGAAATAGTTTGCATTCTAATGCTCTAGCTCTCATTTTGAACTTTATAATACTAATTCCTTTAAAATGGTGTGTGTTTTCATTCTTGAATTTACCTTTAGCCAGATTTTTTTTCCTACTCCAATGTTGAAAGAGAGAAAAAAAATATTAGCACTTCTTAGAATAAAGACATCCAGGATTTCAGACATCCAGCCATTCTTAAGGATTGAATCTCTAAAGCAGGGGTGTCAAACTGCTGGCCCGTGGGCCGTTTGCATCATGCAGAGGCCACGCCCACCTCAGCTCCGGCAATGTGAAAAAAGTCGTGATACATCGCGACATGTCACATGATGTGGTGAGTATGACACCCATGCTCTAAAGTAAAGGCCAGTCAGGAATTATAATATTGTCCCCTGTTTTGCCTTTCTGCTAAGAGGGTGTCCAGATAAGTGCTAACCCAGGAATAGGCAACCTTGGCTCTTTTATGACTCGTGGACTTCAACTCCCAGAATTCCTGAGCCAGCCGTGCTGAGGGGAAAGGGAGCGGTTTCCAAGCTGAGCCATGCTGGCTCAGGAATTCTGGGAGTTGAAGTCCACGAGTCATAAAAGAGCCAAGGTTGCCTACCCCTGTGCTAACCCAACATGTCATTTATGCTTCAATGTCAAGTACTGTCATACCAGACATATTGGATGTTTCTGATATATCAGACAGGTGCATGAGGGGAAAAAAGGGAGATTAAAATAATCACGTAACAAGATCACACAAAATAATCTGTTATCTGTTAAAGGTACTTTGCTTTGCCATCACTAAGTACAGCTGGATGAATGATTGAGAATGATTTTCTCTTGAAATAGTCCAGTGTTCGATGTGGCTTGCTTTTAAAATACCTGCTATCTTGCAAGGATCCAAAATACTCAACTAGCACATGTTGATTTCATTCAAACTGAGCCTTAAAGAGACAAGGGCTTCAGCCTCACAAATGGATTTGTCTCTTCACATCTGATCGTATTACATTATCCAACACATCCCAGGGAAAATACACATTCATATATAGGAAAAAAATGAATGGGAAGAATGATGAACTCTGATTAATGCCAACTAACGTTGGCATTAATGCCAACCTTGTAATTTTGAAATTTGAAGGGGAAGAAGAAGAGAGATATGAGCATGGTTGAATTCCACAAGAGGTTTGCTTAAAATTCTTGGAAGAGTAGTGGATGGTAGCTGCGCACTTCCAATAGTGCTACACCCACATACCAAAAAAGACTGTTCAAACTGGAGCAGGGCTATTTATCAATAAGGATTTTTCCACAAGCACTGCCCCATTGACAGGATTTCTGCCACAAAACAGCCAAGATTCCATGCCCCTGGAAGAGTCTAGACTAGAGGCCATGGCTTCTTGACCCCAAAGAGCAAATAGTGTAATAGCATGTGGGAGACTTGTTTCTTACTCAGCACCCACTTTTTGTGGGAACGTGAGCTTTTTGAAGTGCAAGATGTCTCTCCATTCAACCAACCACCTCCCCTTGCCCAGACATGCTATGTGAGGTGATGAGCACAAGCTGGACGTGCATGGCATGAGAATGGTGGTTAAACAGGGTTACAGGCAGTTTATGGCAGGAGCTCACCATCAAATGTACGCTGGAGCTTGACTTCCTTTTCTGGGCACACCATTCAAAGGAGGAAAGAGAAGGAAAGAAGAGATGAGAAGAGAAGCAAAGGAAATGTTGGCACTTATGCATCAGCAGAGCTCGGCTGCCAATCACCTTCCTTTAAGAAAGGAACTGAATGCCACAAATAAATGAGCTCATGAAAGCCAGCAGTTATATAATAGTACGAGAAACCTCCCGGATATAGAAAATTCCAAGCATAGCAAAATGGCAAACGATGTAGCCAGTGGGACGCAGGAGAGACTGAAACCAGAGGACCATTATTTTTCAAACTGTGTCCAATTGTGGGTAGAGTTGCTTACCTACAAATTATTAAGATGATACAATGTCCATCAAAAAGTATTTTATTCAACATCTACCTAGAAGCACGTTTTTATTGTATTGATTCATGAACACAAATATTTGACCTACGGAATTTTGACTCTTCTACTTTCAAGTGACTAGTTCCTGACAGCAATCATGTATCTTCTCACTCAAATGAGGTAGTTTCATTACTACAATGATTGAGAAGGTGTCTGTAATGATAAATAGCTTTGTTCTATAATTCCAAGATAAGCCCAAACCCATACACAAATCTAGAAAGCACAGGAGACCATGTGCAAAAGATCCGTTAAGCATTTTACATTTAGCCACTCCTCTTCGGTAATAAAATAGTTATTGCTAATTTTAACTAATTTTACTAATGGATAGTTGAGGTGTGCAGGAAATACACCACTGTAGTAATGGGGGAGTTTAACTATTCTGACATCAACTGTAAAACAAACTCTGCAGTGAGTTTCTGATGTGCCTAAGTTGACAACTTTTGACACCCAATGGGTGGAGGTGGGAACTAAAAGGTCAGCTATACTGAACTTAATCCTAACTAATAGAGATGAAATGACTGAAGGAGTAAATGTAGGAGCTTTGGAGGAAAGTGACCATATCATATTAGAATTCTCTACAATGTAGACACTGGCAATTGAACAAAGTTAGACTAGTGTTTTAGACTTCAAAGGAGCTGACTTCAACAAACAAAGACAAAGATTAGGAAGGATTCCATGGATGGAAATCCTAGAAGGAAAAACAGATCTGGATGCAGGGGAAACTCTGGGAAAAAAAATACTAAAGGCCCAGACAAAACAATACCACAGAAAAAGAAAAGACACTAGATGAGACCAGCATGATTGCACAAAGAGCTCTCTGACAAACTGAGGGGTAAGAAGGACAAGTATAAAAAATGGAAACGGAGAGATATCACTAAGACAAAATGCCAGCAAATAGCCTGAATTCGCAGAGATGCAGTCAAGAAGGCTAAGGCTCAGAATGAACTAAGACTTACAACACATGCTGAAAATAACAAAAAAAGTTTATTTCAATATGTAAGGAACAAGAAGAATTTAAGGAAATGATGTTCACTAGCTGGCAAGAAGATGATGGGCAGGAGGGAGGAAGCGGATCTGCTGAATTCCTTCTTTGCCTCTGTCTTTACTCAAAAGAAAAAAAAATATCGAAAGCAATACAATGGGAGACAGAACAGGAACACAAATAAATAAAAAAACCCACCTATCCGCTATGACAAATTCAAAACACTGGGATCAGATAGTTTATAACCCAGGATATTGAAAAAGCTGGAACATGTGATCTCAGAACCACTGAACAAATTCTTTCAGAGCTCCTGAGCCAAGGGGGAACTGCAGAACTGGAAAAGAGCTATATGATTCCAATCTTCAAGATGGAGGAAAATGGATCCGGCTTACCATCAACGCCTGCAAAAATCCTAGAAAAGATAATCAAGCTGCAAATGTGTGAGCTCCTAGAAGTGAACAAAACAATCACTAGAAACCAACGTGAGTTTGTTAAAAACAGATCATGCTTCTTTTGATAAAGTAAGTAAATTAATGGATCAGAGAAATGCTATGAATATGGACTTCAGGTAAGGCATTTGACAAAGTAGACCACAGCCTACTTTTTGGTAAGATAGAACAATGTGGGATAGATAGTGCCACCATCAGATGGATTCGCAACTGACTGACTAACTGCACTTAGCGTTTAGTCCTTAATGGAACTATATTTACATGGAGGGAAGCATGCAGTGAGGTAACTCAAGGTTCTATCTTGGGCCCAGTGATGTTCCAACATCTTCATAAATAAGCTAGATGAAAGGATGGAAGGGGAACTCATCAAATTTGCATCTTGACAGACTTAAGCATCAGGTCCTATCCAACAAGATGCAGTTTAGTCGGAGAAAAGTAATACCCTGCACTTAAGGCAGGAAAAACCAAGTGCATCGGTGTAGAATAGACAGCACCAGGCTCAACAGTAGTACCGTACTTTCCGGCGTATAAGACGACTTTCTCAAGAGTTAAAATCGCCGCTGAAGTCGGGGGTCATCTTATACGCCGGGTCGTCTTATACGCCGGAAATAACAGTAGTTTCCGGCGTATAAGACAACTTTCTAGGCATGCGACTCGGCGCTGAAGACGGGGGTCATCTTATACGCCGGGTCACCTTTTATGCTGGCATATACAGTAAATGTGAGAGGGATCTAAATGTCCTAGTGGACCACCACTGAAATATGAACCAGAAGTGTGCTGCAGCTGATAAAAAAAAAAAACCAATGCAGTGCTAGGTTGCATCAACAGAGAGATTGCGTCAAGATCGCAAGAAGTGATAGTACCGCTCCATACTGCACTAGTGAGGCCACACTTGGAAAACCGCTTCTAGTTCTGGTTGTCATGATGCAAAAAAGACACCGAGGGCTTAGAAAAGAGTGCAGAGAAGAGCAACACAGATGATAAGGAATCTAGAGGCTAAATCATATGATGAATAATTGAGAGACGTAGGTATGTCTAGCCTAATGAAGAGAAGGATTAGGGGTGACATGATTTATTTATTTTTATTATCTTTTTATGCCATTCATGTCCCCTATAAGGTGACCCAGGATAGCTGTCTTCCAGTGCTAGAGAGGTGGTCGCAAGGAGAAGGTGATCCACTTATTCTCCAAAGCACCTTAGGGCAGGACAAGAAGCAATGGGTAGAAGCTCATCAGAGGATGATCCCACCTGGAACTAAGGAGAAACTTTCTGAAACTGTGAATAATAATCAGTGAAACAGCTTGCCTCTCAAGGGTTGTGGGTGCTCCGTTGCGGGAAGTTTTCAAGAAAAGATTGAACAACCATTTGTCTGGGCTTCAGTTAGATCTTCTGCCTTGAATTGGACTACCAGACCTCCACGGCCTTTTGCAGCCCTATGATTCTATGACTCTATTCTCTGCAATACTTGTATAGAAAAACAAATACTTATGAAAGATAATTGCAAGCAGGGGCCAGACAGGACTGATCAGATGGCATAGATGCCCAACGAGGAGGCACTGGGTATGAATGAAAAGTACACAGAATAGACATTTGATCAAGCTAAATTTGATAACTTCTCTCTTTCCTGCCCTACGTGAGAAATCAGGGAGAAAAACAGGAGAAATATCAATATGGCAGAGAAAAAAGAAAGATCATTCCTTAAGAATTGTGGAGAGACAGAAATTACTCTACAATGATGCAAACAAGGGGGATGATGTTTCTTCTTCTAAACCTGCTCTGCACCATACTTATTCCAGGTCCAAGTTATGGCTTAGTCCATTCACCAATCATGCCACTTTTCCTTTTTCAGAATCCACTAAAACCTATCCCTGCAACATTTTGCCAATTTTGCTTAGAGGAAATTCAATTATTATATACCTATTTGCACCCCCATTTGCACTTCCACCACATAATCTGCACTTCCACCACATAGTAAGCCTTCTAGAGCAAAGCAGGAGAAACATACCTCGCCTGCAGATCCCTAGAGATAAAAGCCTTTGCAGTGATAATTCTGATTTGAATAATGTTCTCCCATTAGGTTATCATCTTTTCAGAGCTAGATGAAGACCTTTTAAATCTCCCAGATACATTAACGATTGTACTTCCAGATCTTTGTACCTTCTATTTTTGGCTGGCACTTTGCCCTTGGTATCATGATACGTTCAGTATTTTTATTCCATGTTGATTATATGCACAATATTTTGAAGCTTCCAAGCAGCTTTTTCATTTGTGCAAAGATTTGCAACCACATTTAGATTTGCTTTGAGTATAAGAGAAATGTGCTTTTTTCATTACTGGAAGGCATGCATTACGGCTGTTACGTGCCAAAAGCTTAGACAGCCTTGGGAATATAAAGTTATTTTACTGGAACTTCAATCTGAGGTTTATCAGAAAGTATTACAAATATAATGCATAAACCTTTAAGTGCCTTGGGGTAAACAAAGCAAGACTCCAGTTAACATGCAGGCACTTCGTCCTATTTCACGTGCAGTATTTTCCCTTGAGAATGTACTGCATTTCCATTTAGATTTTTTTTTTTTCAAGAGCTCTGAGCAGCGCACACCATTACCTCCATTAAGCACCACAATCTGTGAACTAAATTTCAAGAAGAAACTATGAGAAAACTGCTGCAAAAGAAAGAATACAAGGATTTCTCCGATCTGAATTGGAATTTGGCTAAAGTACTATTGTTTTTCTTACTTTTGTCCTGTAGCAAGTAAAGACTATCCTGGGGAAAAGCTGCAAGGTATATTTTATGCAAGCTTGGAAAATCTAAGAGATATAAAGAGTAATAAATCCTTATTTTTTATTCTCCCTTTTTATCAGAGGGAGGTGCATCTCCTTTACATCTGATTCTATCTGAACCTCATAGAAGTGCTCCTGTACTAAATTACCACTAGGAAAGGTGTACCTCAAGTCTCCTAGAATATAAAATACGTTTATAATTATTGCTTGGTTTTTATTCTGTTTTAATGGTCAGCTGCAGTCATGGACATGAGATGGGCTGCTACATAAATTTATTGAACAGAGAAAACCAGTTAATAAAAAATAATACAACTAAATAATACTTTTTGTAATAAAACGGACATTAACAATACCTGATTTGGGGTGGGTGGGAATTTTGCAGTGATCAATTTCCAGAGGCCTCCAGTAAAGTTTTGCAAGCCATGGAAAAACTCCAATTGCCTTGGGGTCTGGGGATGGGGAGGGGGCAACTTGTTCCAAAGGAAGTTAGTTCTCCCAATACCAGGGTTCCCTTTTCCATTAAATCTCATAATGGAAGTGGAGCCGGTGGTCCAGGTCAAATGAGCAAAAATATAGGGGAAACACAGTGTCTTAGACAAGCCCAAGTCACAAAGGGCTTTTAAGAAATGACTAATTAACTATAAAGTCTGGATTTAAACTACAAAAGGTTACAGATAAATAAGAATTATTCCATTTATCTTCAGCTGGCTTAAATGAGTCTATCTGTCAGCACATAGCAATGGATAAAGAAATCTGGTCATTTGCCCTAAAAAAGTTGTTTCTATTTGTATTTTTCTGTAAGATTACAGGCAAAGTAACAGACTCCTCTGAAATGGCTGGGGTTCAAGACAATATGGAAGACAGACATTTAGAGTTCTGATTCAATCACGTCTGTGTCATCATTAGCCAGGAGTTCTAGGACAGCCCAGCCCTTTGATTAATTTTAGGACCAAATTATGTTCTGAGGTTTGAAATTAGTCAGAGCAAATAATAACATTCCCATTTAGCTTGAACACAAGATAAGCTTAGCTCAGAAATATCAGAGTAAACTGAGTAATATGTAAGAAAACAACAAGCAATGGTAGAATACTTCAGCTTGTATTTCTTATTAGATCATGAAGATCTAGATACAGGGGTAGGAAATCTTGGCTCTTTGACTCGTGGACTTCAACTCCCAGAATTCCTGAGCCAGCATGGCTGGCTCAGGAATTCTGGGAGTTGAAGTCCACAAGTCATAAAAGAGCCAAGGTTGCCCACCCCTCTAGGAAGAGAAAATGGAGGACCATCAAGATGGACAAGACCCAATAGAGCCCATCGATTGTGCATCGATACAGTTGTGGTGTGAATATTCTGACAAGGACTTCAAGGCCCGTTTTCTTTCTTTTTAAAAATGAAGACTTTAGGGAAAGCCAAATAGAAAGGGATAAAACGAAAAATCCTCTTCTGTCTTGTTACATAAATAGGCTGTGAATTGGACCAGGAGGAACATTGTGAGTTCTTCACGTGGAGAAGGCTCACCTTTGTCACTTGAGGTCCCAGGGTGCTTTTCAAAAGGCAAACGGAAAGCGAAACATTTTTAAATGTTTTGAAAAGCACCTTTGGAACACTCACAACCTGGATGATTCAAGAATCTCCCACAGACATTTGTCACTGAGGTGAAATCAAGGATTACCCCAAGTGTAAATTCTCTCTTTTATGCCTTAGCTATTTTTTTCCGCTGACCCACAGCTCGCCCCTCTTTTAAGCATATTCTCTCTGATCCAGTTCTGAAAGACATCCAAAGAGAATCAGACAATGAAATGGAAACAAGCCCTCACATAGTGTACTCACAATCTCTTAAGTGAGGGCAGTCAATGGGGAAGTGTTTAAAATAATTTATCTTGTTAACTTAAGAGGAGTTCTGAGAAAAATACAGGCATTATCACATGTAGAATAACAGGCACATCATTTTTTTACTGAAACAATTAACAAAGGATCATAGTGTGGTTCGTATTTTATGCCTAAAGAAATATTTATGACGAGTGGGAAATGGGAAAAACAACAACAAAGCAGTAACTAGAAGTGCTGCTACCCATTCTCTAATGTTCTACTGAACACATGAGAGAGGAATAGGACTGTGCCTTTTAATTTTACTCCATGTTTAATGTTGTATTCTCTACAGAGAATAATGTTGTATTCTCTACAGAGACCTTATTTATTATTATTAAATGCACCATATTAAATAAATTGTTTAGTTGTATTAGTTTACACAACTAATGGGGGGGGAGAGACAGGAAAATTTGAGAACCACCAACATGTGAGCTGAGCTTGCATGGTTTAATTCTCTCTGTGCATCCAGTGAATATGTGGAATGGGAAGTATGCAAACGTTTTACTGGTCTTTAACAGAACAGAACAAAATAAATAAATGCAACAATGGATTTTAATGAGGAGCTGCTAGTTGCTATTGCTATGACTGGGAAATAATGTTAATTCAATGATGTGCAATTCCCATTTTTAAATAAATGCAACTTTTAAAAGTAGATACTGTACAGATAGGCAAAATAGTTCACAGAAGAATATTCACAGAATGGTGGATAAGATGCAAGAAGCAGGACTGTATTTTATTTCTTTGCTTGAGGGCCATTAGTTTCCCCAAATATAAAAGAATCAACAATATTATCAAAGAATATAATTTGATTTGAAAGTAGATTTCAAGGATATGAAACTCATATATAAAATAAGAAATTAATTATTCTGATAAATATAGGTAATATGTTAAACATAATTTCCCAAAAGACAGACAAATACCCATTGGAAAAGGAAACAGAAATAATACTCAAGAGTGAGATCTTTGATAAAACAGCTCTGAAATCCATTAATGTATATTGCTTTCTTAATCTAATATTATAGATTTCTTGTTCTCATTTTATTTCCACACATAAGTGCAGGGCATCTGTAGTTTGCAAATAATCATATATTTCTTGAAAGAGGTAATAAGGACTTCCAGATACTTAAACCATGCCCTGAGAAGTCACGAAGTATGAAATATTTTTGATAACCCAATATGGAATTGCAGGTCTAAGAATTTTCCAGAGATAGTCCCTGGTTCCATAAATCAATATTACAGTAGTTGTTGCACTTGCTAAAAATCCTAGGAAACATTTAGAAGAAAATTCTGTATTAAGCCTTGAGCCTTAATGGGTTGGTCAACTATGAATTTACTGCCGCACTCACACGGTCAAGTTGCAGGAGCTGTGCAGGGTCATTTTCTGGCATATGAATCACTTAGGCTGGCCAAAGATGCAGATTTCTATGAATGGGACTGAAAAAGAAAGGGATGCTCCCAATGTCAAAACCTACCTTTACTCCATCTGACTTTTTGTTCAGTAAGCTCTTGGCAGCTGCAAATAGAATGGAGAAAAAAAGCAAGTGAACTACATTTTAATATTATTTTAAAGCAGGTCAACATCAGGAACCAAGCTAGATTCATTTTAGGCTCAAAACCATAGCATCTGCATGAACAATAGCTTTACCAACGTCCAAACCTTAGACCATAATCGTATTTTTTTTCACAGGAACTGGACAAAAAAACACAACTCTTCAGAACTCTTGAGACGTTCGTATCTTTGATTTCATTATTTACTACCTCTATCCCTTTCAGTAGCCACAGCTATTATCAAAGAAGCAATGAAAACCAATTCTTAAATTGACATACAGAAGAATTATCCCTTGAATCAATGTTTCATATGACAAAATTTATTCTAGAAAGTCACAAAAAAACTTTTTTTTTTACATTTTAATGCCAAGTTGTCATTTGTTACATGCAGTGACTATTAAGGTATCTTGCACATAGACATGACAATAGGAAAATATATTCTTGTAAGAAATATTGCATGTGAAGTGGCTCATCCCTTACCTACAAAATGTAGAATAGAAAAAGTAAAAATTAAATCTGGGTATTTTAGTACAATGAAAAATCCAAGTTTCCACTAAAATCCAATGTAGGAAAACCATTAAGGAAAACATGATTGCTGCTAATCTGGGCAGAGGTCAGATTGGCAATTGACAAGAAGGAGAATTCAAACAGAAACCACTTATCAGATGAAGGTTACATGTTTCATTTGGAGAGGAGCAAGTTACTATGTTTTTCATATAACTACCTTGCAAAGGCAAAGACAGAATACACATAGAACCAGAACATGGATGCGTAACAGAGGGACACCCAAAGAGCTTGACAGCACATGACCTATCCATGCCAATTACAATTTTCATATATGCTTTTCAAAACAAATTTTGTGTTGCAGCTCTTCGATTCATCAACACACTCAACACAGAGACATTTGCACAGAAGTAAACTACTAGATCCTGTAGTTTATACTATAGAAATCATATACTGTGATTGGCAGAGGATTTTAGGGTCTGGATAGTATAAATTAGTTGATTCAGTCAATGCCCTTTGAAAACTGTTCACATCCACACAATGATGTATCCATTTAATCAGGAACAGCCTATTTTGAATAGTGATATCTACACTATCATTACAAAAATTAGGAGACTTTATCATCTAAAGCAGTGGTTCTTAACCTGGACGATATCGCCCCCCAGGGGGCGATTTCGTTTTTCAGGGGGGGGAATGGAACGAAAAGGGGCGACACGGGGGCGAAAGAACGAAAAGGGGGCGATATGGAGGTGATGGAGCGAGAAGTTTTGGGGACACTTTTGAGACATTTTCGTACAGTGAATCGCTGTATATCTGTCGTACAAAAAACATCAGATCGCTCGCTATTAGTGGATTGAATTGTGTTTTCAAATGTTCCTCCAGCTAGCTTCAGTACAGAACACCGTACATATGTGAGTACGCATTGCTTATCTTCATGCGCGTTGCGCAGCAGCCTCTACCCATACAGTGGCGCGCCGTTGGCCAGAATATGGGAGATATGGGGAAAAGACTGGAAATAAATTATTTGCATCGATATGTCCTGAAGACAATTTTAAAGAAAACAAAAAAAGTGTTTGCCTAAATCAAAGAATTATTTCCTATGTTGTGATTGAGAGGTTATGTTGGGGGAGGGGGGCGATGACAACTTCCTCATTGGCTCAAGGGGGCGATTCGTTCAAAAAGGTTAAGAACCACTTATCTAAAGAACATGCTTTATGTTTTTAAAAATAAAACCATTAATCCAGGTGCTTAAAAGTCCAAGAGCTTTGGCACTCTAATTTCCAGGGAAGATGCTCTAAGCTTCAAAACACCCAGAAATGGAACTTGGGCTTTGTTTCATGGAGGCTGTTCCCTGAAATGACAGCCAAAGTTTGGAGTTGTGAGTTCTATCCCAACACCTTCTTTAGAACATAAAGGCAACATTAAGAGCCTATTTTGCCCCTGGTGACATCCAAAGGTGTTTGTGGCTCTAGAATATTATTCTACACATTATTTGGTCTTCTTCTTACACTGAAGAATAAACCTTAAATTCTGGGCCAAAACAGCATATATTTGGCCTTAAGCAAGCTAGCAGACGACTGAGGCATAATAAAAAGGTACATAAAAAAAAATTAAGTATCACATGTGTGTAATACAAAGTACAAGATTCACATTTATTTTGTAGCCCTACAACTTTTTAAAACTCAAGAGCAGACAGATTATGATACTAATGGGAAAAATATATACAGAATACATTAACTGGGTTTGGTTTCCTATTCACTAAATACGGAATCTTAAGGCCTCAGTCTGAAATTTTGTTAGATAACATATTTCTGTCCTGTGAGTCATTTAAAAGCAAATTTAAATTTTATTTACACTATCCATTTCCAATGGCCCTGTGCAGCTAATTACCAAGATCAACTTAACATAAAAGGCAACTACTTCAAAAATAATAAACAAACACAAACAAAACTGACAATATCAATTACACCAACTCGTGTGCCTGCCAGGATCCAACTTGACCCCCTGTGCTTGATGGGCTGCTTTTAATTGTTTTCTTTTTTCTTTTTAGTGAGGCAAATTTTTAAAACATGTAAGTACAAGAATTCAAAGGGGAGAAATGGATATTCTGCCTCTTTTACGTAACTCCGTTGCACAAAAATATTTCCCACGTGAAGAAGGCATGTTGACTCATGTATGTTTTCATACCATGGGATAAAATTCAGGGGAGCAGAAAAGAGCTCTGAGAAATTAAGGCAAGATGTAATATAAAGGCACTGTTGCATTCAACTAACAGGAAACCGATTTATGTTTAAGTTTGTGTAATTAAACCCTAATCCATTCCAGGTCTGGAATTCATATACTGTAGTTTTATTTGCAGCATAAGGGGAAGTATCAAAATTATCTACAGGGAGTTTATTCTTACTCCATCTATTCCAGCTCTAATATGGTTATCTTGTGGAAATGAAACACTACCTCATGCCGTTAATCACACTAAAAAATGTAAGAAAAAATAAAAGGACTCTGAAACTTTCAGACTTTGCCTTAGTTTTGCCTCCATTAGACGGGATGTCATTGTGTAATTGAGACAACCGAGTGGCCAATGAAAACCAATCCCACCTGGATATAGTTTGCATAGCTTACAAATTTCTCACATAGCAAGAATTACTGAGAAATGCAATGTTCTTTATTGCAGTTGATGTAATTACAGTGGGAGAATAGACCTTCTGAAATAAAATTCAAAGCTGGTTCCGTAGAAGCCTAATGTTGGCCTTTTCCTGCCAAAGGAATCACGTTCACGGTGTACTTACTCCTGTCAGGCAGTTTCCCTCTGGCCCTGTCAAAAATTAAGGTATTGCTCTAGATCAGGCGTATCAAACCCGCAACGTCACATGACATTGCGCAACGTATCAGGCCGGTTTTGCCATTGTCGCCAATGGGATGGGCACGGCTTCCACGTGACGCGTCCGGCCCACAGGCCGGCAGTTTGACACCCCTGCTCTAGATCCCCTAATGCAGTGGTTCTCAACCTGTGGGTCGGGACCCCATTTGGGGTCGAACGACCATTTCACCGGGGTCGCCAAACAACGCAGTCCGCCATTTTTTTCCCCTTTTCCTTAGCTGTGCTACTCCCTTTTATTCTATTGGCTTTTGAAAGCCAATAGAATAGACTCTCTTGAATAGAGTCTAATTATATTGGCTTTCAAAAGCCAATAGGAATTGTCCAGGCTGTCTCTGCCCTGCTGAGCCCACCAAAAGTCCCATTCTGCAAACGGTGCTGCACCAGTTGAGTAGTCCTCGACTTATGACTGGTTGGGGGTCGCGGCATTAAAAAGGTTGAGAACCACTGCCCTAATGCTACCCCAAGATTAAATTAAGACCAATTAAGCTACAAGCATTTGGAGGGAAGCCAGAAATAGGTTATGTGGTCAAATCTATGTTAAGGTATCTGGAAATCTAACACAGATATTATGGGAATAGGAAATCTGCATTTATAATATAGAGTGCAGACACTGAGAGGAGGATTAATGGAAGTTTTCCATTCACCTCCTGTCAGTGTAAAAAGTTGATATAGTAGAATGAAAGCCCCAAGGAGCTTGCTACTGGAAGCACAGCAGGTCTTGAAATTCACCCATATTCTGGTCTCATAAATGGTCTGTAGTCCTTTGCCTCCACACACAGAAGCTGCATAATTCCTCCTCAACCTTTGCACACACAGCAGACTGGGAAAGGCTACACATTAATTAATCTACAAAACAGTTCCCCACCCAAAAAGAGCAGACAAAAATACATTTTGCATGAAACTTGGACTTTCAGATAACACACTGTTATCCAAAAGATGAAACTTGGATTCCTACAATTAAGCACCACACAAGAACACAAAACTTCCTGGGAGTACTTAGAAGACAAAACACACAGAGAATACTATACTCAGCACAAGACAACAACAGATGAGTTGCAAAGAGCTTTTCCAGAGAAAGTAGGATTCTATCTATAGCTACACACTCTGCAGTTTCTCAATATGGGGACATACCACCATCCAGTTCTAACCTACATCTTACTTGTAAACTTGTGTGTTTTGAGAAGCCTTTGGAAATATCGAAAAGCATACTCACAATTTTCATTGTGCAATTATATCCTGCCTTTGATATAGGACAGGGGAATCCAATCCTTTTTGAACCAAATTGTATACAGTCTTTGAATAGCAAAGATAATGGATCACACAAAACAAAGCTGCATTGAAGTTTTACAGAAATTATGTGTGCCCTAGGGGAAGGCTAGGGTGAGAAAGAAATTTGGTGAAACTTAAAATGGTTGCTTGAATCTGACTTTTCTTTAGTTATTATTCCATCTTTATTTTAGTTTTCTGTTTTGAGTACTGGCCTAAAGGACTCATAACCTGCACTATAATTTCTAAACAGAAATGAATTTGCATCTTGACTCACAATCAAAACTGGGACTGGAAGTCCAGTGGTAAGTTGTTACAGTCATTAGTGGAAGCACCCACATGCTCTGAAGTAATTTTCTGACCTTTTTTGCAGTGGTCATTAAGCGAATGTGGCAGTTGTTATCAAATGCAGTGGTTAATAATCAAACAATGGTCATTAAATGGACCCATTTATTTGAATGGCCATTTTTTTTTTTGCCAGAAACCAGCAAAAAAATCCCAAAGCAAATTGAAATCATGTGACTATGGAATACTGTGATGGGTCGTGAAGCTGATATGCAATCATGTGACTACGGGGGAGGGAAAGACGATATAAGATAGTCACAGGTGCTTTCAGTGGCCATCAGATGGTTGTAAAATGATTGGTTGTAAGTTGAGGACTATCTATATATCTGAAAAAAGCCAGTGGCCATAATGAATTTGGAAGCATTCTAATTGTAAAGCCTAGCTAAAGCTTAAATGTGAATTTATCTTTGAAGGACAGATTCTGACTATGTAGTAGACTTACAACTACTGTCTTCCTTCTAAAGCAGCGGTTCTCAACCTATGGGTCGCGACCCCATTTGGGGTCGATCAACCATTTTTCGGGGGTCGCCAAAGAAGGCGATCCGCCATTTTCCCCCCTCAGGGGGCGCCGCCGCGCATGCATGCCGCGCATGGGGGCGCTGCCACGCATGCGTGCCGCGCATGAACAGTACGTTTGTGTGACGGGGTCGCCGTCACACAAACGTTGAGAACCACTGTTCTAAAGAGAACAACAATTTCTATTCTGCAGTCGAAGTCCTTTCCTAAAATGATATATCAACATTAAATGGGAATCATTTCTACATTCCCAATAGTACGTGTTACTGAAATGCTTTTTTACACACATTTCTTCCTATGATTAGTCTAAACCATTTAAATAATTGATTGCAAATATGTGTATCTATATCTCCAGATTTGTAGATATCAAAACCAGCCCTGGAGAATTTTGTCTGAAGCAAGTGGGATCATCCCTTCGTTAGCATTTAAATATTTCATAAGTAGTCCTTAGAGGGCCTTTAAACCTCTCCCTAATCCCTGTTTAATTGATGAGAAATTACCACACCAATTAGTCCAGGTCTTTACATCCAAAGGCAGACAACAGGGATTCTGCTACTTTTCAAGGAAAAGGAAAATCCCTTGGAAAGAAAAGCTAGTAGCCTGGAAAATAAGCGTTCCCGTTTCCTCCATTCATTGGGCTCTCCTGCTGGAGAAGACTCCTGCGAGTCCCCTGGACTGCAAGGCGATCAAACCGGTCGGTCCCAGAGGAGATCAACTCCGACTGCTCTTTAGAAGGCAGATCCTGAAGTTGAAACTCAAGTACTTTGGCCACCTAATGAGAAGGAAGGACTCACTGGAGAAGAGCCTAATGCTGGGAAAGATGGAGGGCAACAGAAGAAGGGGACGACAGAGAATGAGGTGGTTGGATGGAGTCACTGAAGCAGTAGGTATGAGATTAAATGGACTCCAGAAGATGGTAGAGGACAGGAAGGACTGGAGGAACATTGTCCATGGGGTCGTGATGGGTTGGGCACGACATCGCAACTGACAACAACATGTATCTAATCACAGGTTTCAAACGTGGCACAAAAGTGAAGAGATGCTCACTTTGGCTTCACGCAATTTCCCCCCCAGTCTAGTTTTGATATCAAAAATTAATTAGGCTGGAAAAGAAAGTGCTCAGTGTGGGGGAGAGCTTCATCTCACACCAATCTATACATTCCATTTCATTTTAAAAATTCCATTTCTGATTTAAAAAAAAAAAAAAGTTTGCTTCTAGCCACATAAGTTGTAGAGGCCTGCTCACTCACACATCGAATGTGGTTGGATAAAAGCGCACTTTTCATTTATACATAGACTCATTTTAATGCAATCGATACAGTGTGATTGCATTTTGAACAAATGTGGCTTTTAAAGAATAATCCAGTAACTGGTATATATCTGATAAGATAAAGCTCTTTCTCCGACTAGAACAGTGATGGCGAACCTTTTAGAGACCGAGTGCCCCAAAACTGGCCCCGGCCCCGCTCCACCCCTGCCCCGCCCCTGCCCTGCCCCCACCCCACCTGCCCACAGGGCCACTCACCGCCTCCAGGGCCCACCGCAGATCACCCAGGCAGCCCAGCAGCGCCATGGCGGCCACGCCCTCGGCCCACGCCCTGCAGCATCAACTGTGCGGGAAGGGGCGTGAGGGCAGAGTCTTGTCTAAGCTGCCATGTCCTTGGCTGCACTGCTCCGTGTGGCCCACGCTTGGGGGTGACTCTCCTCCAGGGGGGCTGCTGGCGAGGGGGTCGTGGGGGGAGGCGAGGCTGGGGCAACGGCACGTGTGCCCACAGACAGGGCTCCAAGTGCTGCCTCTGGCACGCATGCCATAGGTTCGCCACCACTGGACTAGAAGCTTAATTTTGAAGATTGCAACACTAATTCTGAGAACTTATCGGCAAATCTAGTAACTGCTTTTGATGGAACACCAAGCCTGGTTTTGTTCCCGCTAAACCAGTGGTTCTCAACCTTTCTAATGCCGCGACCCCATAATACAGTTCCCCATGTTGTGGTGACCCCCAACCACTTATACATCACTGGGTGCCAGGGGTGTGGCCAAAGGGGGAAAAATGGCGGACAGCCTTGTTTGGCGACCCCCGTGAAATGGTCGTTCGACCCCAAATGGAGTCCTGATCCACAGGTTGAGAACCACTGCGCTAAACCAAACCCTACTCCTACAGTCTGCGACAGGGAAATTAGATCAGAATACATCCAAAATCTGCAATATATATTCAAATATATTGCATGAATTCATATGTACTGCATGAAATGTCATACATGGAGGTGCACCCAGATAGAAGCATGCAGATTAAGTTAATAAGTAGGAAAAAGATAAAAGTGAGAGCTGAGAGGGTCCTTATTCCATCCTCTATTCTAAGGGGCTTCATCTGATACACAAAGGGATTGTGGGAAACCTTGTGCGCATTCAATAGTTCTAAGAACACATCTTCAGGGTTCCCACACTTGTAGGTCCATAAAGAAATCCTAGGATGGCTTAGCTCTGGGTCTAAAGTCAATAGAAAACTACTCTGAAACTTGTCAAAGGAGCACCCCACATTATATGCTTCCCATTCAAGCAACATTCTGGCTACGGACATATTTATTTGTCCCTGAACTAATTACTTTTGCTTAGCTGAAGAGGAATTAGCAACAGGAAATCACCTGGCCTTTGAAGCTTTTTCCAAATTTGAGATTAATGCTTCTACCAGCACACTATATTTTTTCCTGCTTTTGGGGGGGGGGGATTTAACAGAGGACAACAGATATTTTCCATTCTTAAACGATAATAATTTTGGAAACACAAGAGCAATGTTCTTTATTGGATTAAAAAAAAAGTTAAGTGTCTTTGCCAGTACAAGAAACTTCATCCCACTGCTTTTTATCCTTTGCTCCCCAAATTTAAACCTGCACCGTCAAATATAATTGCAAACATAATGCGTAATGCTGAATGCTACGGTGTGTCATTGCTTATCACCAATCCATGTGGAAAAAATAGCAGGCTAATCTTACGCTACCCTCCTATGAAATGGTAAACGTTATTTTTTTAAAAAAAAATTCAGAATTTGCTAACAGGTTGATATCCTCGTTAAGACATTCATGGTTGTAGGAGCCATGTCGACTTTCTGAATGTACTGACACTATGACAATCCCTGTCTCCAAATGTCATGTCAATTCACAGCAAAACAGGGTTAGCTACCCAACATGCATTTGTTAGTAAGTTCAAACTCAATGTACTTATGATTCTTGGTTAGATGGATACCTTAGTGCATGCCCTTTCTCAGTCAGCAAGCATGGATGGTGTGTCTCACTAGGTGCACAAATACTATCATGCTGGTTTTTACTGGCAGTGGAATTGATCAAGGGTGGGCAAGTGTGTGTGATTTCTAAGATCAGGCACTCAGGAGATACGACTCATGCCACGTACCTTGCTCAGCCAGGCCGGCAGCACTCATGGCGGCCGAAGCGGGGGCGGAGCTCTGCCTGCCAACTGATTGGACACAATCATTCAGTGGGAGGAGTCATAATAAAGCAATAAAGGCCCATTAGCATGGCGCAAGTCAATTAGTTTAAAAAGAAATGTGGGGGGGAAAAGAAGAAAGGAGAAAAGGGGGAAACACAATATTATGAAAAAGATAATATTATTCCCTCTGAAATATGACAATAAAACCACAGGAGCCGGCCCGAAGGGTTTGGACGTCAGGAAGTTGAGAAAAGCTGCAGATTTTAGATGTAAAACAGACTTTCAGTTATAGAGTTTTATGTCAACAAAATCAAAGTTGAAAGTATTAGCGGTAAGACAGAAGACTAGAACGCCTACTTTAACATCACAGAAGGGACTGGATGATGCTATGGACACCAGTTGCAACAGGTCGTGTTATTATATTAAAAAAAATTAAGAGAAATAAAGGCAAATGTACGTTAGAATGATCAGTCAACCAGTTGGCTTAATTTATGAACAGCAGCTTCAGCCGCTGTATATTAAGTGAAGAAACATTAATAAGAAAATCAGTATTCGTTAAGAAGAATGAAGTGCTGACCTGCGTTGAACTAGTTTATTAAAGTACTTTTAATTCTTTGCTCTCTAGAAAAATACAGATATTTAGCTCAGGATTTTTTTTATTATCCTCCAGACCGAAAAGCACTCGTAGAAGTTCAAAAGTTTCTGATGATCATTGATCCAGGTAAATAACAAATAAGTCAAAGTCTGCAATTTGTTAAAGTATTCAGAAGGTTTCAAAGCCAAAGAGGAAAATGTGTAATTTTACATCACCGGTTAGAAAAAATACAGAGCAATGGAAATATGTCAGCATTTTAGTAATGCTACAGAACCGCTAAACTGAAATAATAATAATAATAATATAATAAAGGATAGCATTTCAAAGTAGCATGGAAGGTGGAAAACTAATTGCTTTGAAAAAAGGAGAGGATTATATGTTTGTTTTTTAACGGGAGCAGTTGCATTTTCAAAGAAATGCAGCCAGCCGACAGCAAACCTATTTTAGCAGTTTAGGGCTACTTTCTTCTCTAATCCAAGTGAAAGCAGAGATCAACAGGCAGGCTATTGTATTACACTGAATTGTTCATTTCAAGAAGTAAGGCACTTCACTTGTGTTTGCCCCTTTCCAAAGCTGTGTACCATTGATAATGTAAAGTAAGGAGAAAACAGAGGGTTGAGACTGCCTCAAGGCCATCACCGAGCTGAGATTTAAATGGGAGATCTGACACTCATAATTCATATTATGGACTATACCGGTTTCCCTCTGAAGTCCTCAAACAACGAAGGGACAAAAGGAAGAGATATATTGAAAATGCCATTTTCAAGAAATGAAGACTGATCATCCCCAAAAATGTATTTCTCTCTTTTCCCTTTCTTGGCACATTCAAAAGATTATGAACTTTACTAATTCAAACCATCTTCTTTCCTGACAAGCGCTGGTTATACATTTGAAAATGCTGCCTGTTATTCTACTTAGGCAGTAGGGCATACAAAGTCTGCCACTGTCTTACTGGTAGCCCTACTTGAAAGATCATCTCTTCAAGGCTGTGTGTAGGGGGGCTTTGAACACAACCATTTACTGTATTTTCTGGCGTATAAGACGACTCGGCGTATAAGACGACCCCCGACTTCGGAGAAGATTTGCATGGCTAGAAAGTTGTCTTATACGCCGGAAAATACTGTCCAAAAATTACTGTCCAAAACAAAGAAAGACATATTGAGCAGAAAGACATTCTTCTAAGCAGTTTCCTTTATTTATTCCCCCACCTTTAGGCAGTAATCTTGCCAAACTAGAGCAGACTACTTGCACCATAAAACATATATTTTGGAAACTGTTAGGGAGGAGCTGGTCTTGACCCTTTTCCTCCCAAGCTATCTGAATCATGCTGTCTCTTACTACACTGGAATAAAGCCTTCTTTCCTGGGAATCTGGACGACATTCCATCACTTCTGCAATGTCCATTATCCCCAATTAGTTAGAATCTCATCTTATGATTTTGAAGCTTCTTATTGGTAAACCAGGCAATTGTGACATTTTCTAACCATTTTGCTCATATCAGACTCTTTCTTTTGCATGAAAACAGTCAACAATTAAATTGGAGCTCCATAACAGTTTGAATTCAGGTGATATGTATAGATTTTCAACATACAGAGTCACCTGGCCATCATTCTCCATCTTGGAAGAAGGCAATGACAAACCACTTCTGCACTGCTGCTTAGAAAGCTACATAGCTATGTTAATGAAGTCACCATGAGTCAAGTTCAACTAGAGGACAGCTTTATCTGTTTATGATATACAGCATGAATTCTGTACAGCATCATAATCATATTAGGCCTCCCTGAATGAATTTACATGCTCCACACATCTGCAAAAACATCATACAATTCTACCTTACGTTTTAAGAACACCCTTACGACATTCTATATTTGGTTCCCCATACTATATATAGCAATGATAGGCAGCATTTTTGGGTAAAGAGTGTATTTCAAAATATTGTTTTCTGGCTGTGAGGATGGTAGCTCTGCAATTGCCAGTTTATATGAGAACGGGCAGAATTAAAATATTTCATCCTTAAATGTTCACAATTAAAAACTAGGTTTCACACCCTCATTTCATTTTATTTTTTTAGTTGTAAAAAATCATGCCACTGGAAATTTTGCTTCTGTTTTTAGTATGATACCATCTGGGTGTGGGAAGGCAATCTGAGAACTGCTAAGATGGAAACAGCCATGACTTCACTTTCTGTTTTATCATGCTCTGCGTACTGTGAGAAGTTAGAACCATCTCATGCAAGTATCGTATTTTCCGGCGCATAAGATGACTTTCTAAAGCGTGGAAATCAGCGCCAAAGTCGGGGGTCGTCTTAAACGCCGTCTTATACGCCGGAAATTACGGTAGTTTCCGGCATATAAGACAACTTTCTAGGCATGGAAATCAGCGCCAAAGTCGGGGGTCGTCTTATATGCCGAGTCGTCTTATACGCCGGAAAATACGGTACATGGAAGGCATTGTTATTAATTAAGATCAAAAGCTATTTTCGGCATGGCAGCTTTACTGTAAGTGCCTCAGACACTTTCTTCCACAGAGCTAATGTTTCTAAATTCTAAATTATTTTTTGTTGCTTTTTTAAAAAACATTGAAATAAAAGCATAAAAATCAACATTTATTTAAAAGCCTTATTTATTACTTTGCAATATTATACATACTAAATAGCTTATCCATCCATCCATCCATCCATCCATCCATCCATCCATCCATCCATCCATCCATCCATCATATTAATAAAAAAGCGATTCTGGACAGAGCATATAACTTTATTACTGTAGTATAAAAAACTACATTTTTTGAGAAAGAAGCTCTAAATTTGCTAGGGAATATAATAGCATGATAGCAGTGTTCCAATATCTCAGGGGCTGCCCCAAAGAAGAGGGAGTCAAGCTATTTTCCAAAGCACCTGAAGGCAGGACAAGAAGCAACGGATGGAAACTTATCAAGGAGAGAAGCAACCTGGAACTAAGGAGAAACTTCCTGACAGTGAGAACAATTAACCAGTGGAACAACCTGCCTCCAGAAGCGGTGAATGCTCCAACACTGTAAGTTTTTAAGAAGAGACTGGACAGCCCTTTGTCCAAAATGGTATAGGGTTTTTTCCTGCTTGAGCAGGGGGATGGACTAGATCAGTGGTTCTCAACCTTTCTAATGCCGTGACCCCATAATACAGTTCCCCATGTTGTGGTGACCCCCAAGTGGGTGTGGCCACCAATAAGAGAGAGTAGGTCAGCTAGGGAAAAGGGAAAAAAATGGCAGACAACATGGTTTGGCGACCCCCGTGAAATGGCCGTTCGACCCCAAATGGGGTCCCGACCCACAGGTTGAGAACCACTGGACTAGATGACCTCCAAGGTCCCTTCCAACTTCTTCTTCTTCTTCTCCTTCTCCTCCTCCTTCTTATTATTATGAAGCATTTAGAGAAAAATTGTACTCTGCATTGAACTAAATTTTATTTATCGGGACAACTTAAATTAAGCAAATTTGCACCACTCAGACTCTTTCTGCATGATTATTGTCCCGGTGCAGTGCTAAGTCCAGAGTATTCCTGAATAGGATTATAACAGGCATTGTCTGCACAGTTTCCAAACGTATCTTAACATGCTGTAAAGAAAGAGGGGGAAAAAACGAAGGAGAAGAATTTCTTCTGGACTTTTGACTCTTCTGCAAACTTCCAGAGGCATGTGGAAAAGACTGTGTAAATTCTTACCAAATTAGTTTTGATCTGCAGGTATATAACTGTGCGCACATGTGACAATTGATGCCTAGGATATCTGGTGACCTGAGATAAGGTCACCCTAAAACTTCCTCTCAGAACTGTAGACTGCTAGCCAGCTTGGGACCTCTTCTGTCCACTGTTCAGCAGTTAACGTGAGAGGATGGACAGTCAGGCTATTAAGCTCTCGTCCTCTTCAAAACAACCGTCTTCTCTAGACAAGATTGATGTACTCAGCACTGGGATCCAGACTGAATTTTTAGGGGGAAATGGGTGTTTTCCCTCTCCCCCCCCCTTCATTGCAAAACTATTTGCACCATCTCTTTGATGAGAAGGGATCCTGAAGGGAGAGGGAAGGCGCAAGCAAAGGCAAACTACTGGTCAGGGCCATTTATTAATTAAATTTGGTACACTGCTCAACCCCGGGCAACTCTCGATGGTGCACCAAGTTAAAAACACAAAAAAATAACAGGAATAAAGGTGAAAGAAACAGAAAGTGGCAAAACCGGGCAACAAGGGATATATCCACAAGACTCAGGAGGGGTTTCAGCCATCCTAACTGAAGACTGGAGTGAACAACCGGATCTTCAAGGCCCTTGAAACATCAATAGGTCAGAATGTCAACCTTACTAGGTAGACCAGAAAGGGAAAATGAGCAAAAGAGTTAAATCTACTTTACTGTAAAGTTACATTAACAGAAACTTGAGAGACTGAAAGTACTTCTGC